ACACACACACACACACACACACACACACACACACACACACACACACAATATTCAAGCATGCTGAGAGATAATCCCATGCTGAACACAAAACCCTCCAGTTTGGGGATTTGCAAACTACCACAGGCGTATTCCCAAACCCATCTGGCCAGCATGCTCAGGGTACACTGAGACCCTGTGGGCAGACATGACAACGGGGACTGGGGGCCAGGACTTCCAAGAACCCAAAGGCTGCTGGGGTAAGTGGGGGAGGAAACATGGGGCGGGGTAATGGGGAGGAGTCTGAGTGAGTTACCTTGAAGTCTCTCTGTCCTTTCAATTCTTAACTACAGAGGTAGAGTATGCATGTGGACAGGAGAAACCATAATTAGTTGGGAGGGTGAGACAGAAGTGGGTGATGAGGCAGGACAGGGAGGAAGGGAACCAGGAAATACAGTGAGGGATTTTATAAAAGCCCTCCCTGTAAATGGAAAAGTTTGCCCAACCAGAGCACTGATGAGTAATAGATGGGGGTTTTATTTTCCGTTTTTTTTTAAGCTTAATAAATGTTCCCTATAGTGCTTTGTACATGAAACTGCCAAAGGACCAATTAGATGTAATGGCACAGGCCCCCTGGAGCTTTTGGGGCATCCACATCCAACAAACTTGGGGTGCAAATAGCAGGAGTCCTGGCTTGCATCAGTTCATCGATTTCTAAGTCGACTCGACAACGTCCTCTGGGCAGCCTAGAGAACTCGGAGAGGCCTGACTTCCCACCCCTTGCTCTCAGCCAGGGAAGGACCGTGAGGGGAGGAAGTTGGGAAATCTCCCTGTCCAGCCCGATTAAAGGAAGCAGTGCCGGGTGGGCTGTAAGCGATGCTGGTTCTGCAGGTGAGACTGAGGGAGGGGGAGCTCAGTACTTTTGTTTTTTTCCTCAGTGGGATGTAGGTTCTCTGCCTCCAGCTAGTCAAGGGAAGTTTTATTATCTGGAATGCTCCTTTTACACCATCATCTCCATGGGATACAGACTTATGGTCCCTTCTACCCTCTGCAGCCCCAGATAGCAGCCGGCAAGGGAAAAACAAGGTCAAGAACCAGGAATATGATAAAGCCCAAGGGGAAATGATAAGGTGAGGAGCAAGGGGCCCTAAAATACATGTTATAGTTGATTAAAAGTTGAAGGAACCAGGAGCGGAACTGGGGAAAAGGTATCTGGTACTGTTCCCAAGGAGTCTGGGGAAGAAGGGGAGACAACCCCAACTCTCCAGCTCTTGATCCAGCTTTCTCCTCATTTCTTCTATCCCATATTCCTTTATGAGCAATCCTAAAAGCCCCTAGTTCCATGATGTCAGGGGCTGATGGGGTTTTGGGAATGCGCCTCCACCTGCATGATGATTCCAATGCAGGGTTACAATCAGCATAAGAAGAATACACGTGGGGGGGAGGTGCAGAGAAGGTGAGAACACAACAGTGGTGTTTAGTCTCTGTATAGCTGAAGAAACGTCATACACAAGAGGAATGAGATTCGGTCTGCTTGGCCCCAGAGGGAAGAATTAAAAAACAATGGGGAGAAGATAGAGGGAGGAAGATTTCTGTACATGCCGGAAAGATATTTCTACCAATCCTAGATCTCTGAACTCAACATAGGCAGCCTCACGGAGAGTGAGCTGTAACACATCACTGGAAGGGTAGACCAATTGGATGATGAAATCAGTCACAGTTCTACAGCAAAACAAGGCTACAAAATGTTCTCACAATGTGACCATGTGGTAGGTATTGGCAATATTGCCATCCTTTATTTTACAAATGGGGAAACCGAGGCTTGGAGAGACATGTCTTGCCCAAAGTCACAAAAGTATTCTATAGCAGGGACGTGGTAGAGGGGATTCCTGTACTGGGTGGGAGGTTGAACTAGGTCACCATTTTCTAAAGTGATGACAATATTTTTCTTCCCTAGCAAATTTAAGCAAAGAGCTCATGCTGCTTTTGAAAACTGCATGTCTGCAGAGCAAACATATCCTTATGTTTTGGGTTCATTTGTTCCATTTCAATGCAGAATATTTTTTAAAAAAATTCTCAGAACTCTGCGGGTGGCATAGGTAGCTCCAACCACTGAGTGCAGGACCCTGAGAATGAGAGAAAATGAGGTTCATTAAAGCTGTTACACTCAGTGCCACGAACTGTGAAAATCCAAGCCCAAAGAGCAGATGTCTTATTCTATTAAACCTCTTCAGTTTGACAACCTTGGTTAATAAAGAAAGTTTGCCCTCTGCCTAAAGATGTGGGTCAGTGACCCAGAGGAGAGCCTCATTCACAAATCTCAATTATTCTGGATTTCCCTTGGGGCCTGACCTTTCAAGAAAGTGGAAAGAAAGCCTTTGAGGATGGAGCCCCAAAGGAAGGCGGATGGAGCCCTAATGGGGAGGGATGGAACCCTGAAGGGAGGGCTTCAAGCTTGAAGCCCTGGAGGGAAGAGGATGGGACTTTGAAGGGTCCCTTTGAAGGAGGGTCCCAAGAAGGGAACCTGGAAGGGAGAAAGATGAAGCTCTGAAGGGGGGTCCTGAGGATGGAGCCCTGAAGGGAGGACCCCAAGGTTGTAGCCTTGAAAGGAAGAGGATGGGACCTTGAAGGGAGAGTCCCAAAGAGGGAGAGAGATGGAGCTCTGAAGGGAAGTCTTTTAAGAATAGAGTCCTGGGGGCAGCTAGGTGGCGCAGTGGATAGAGCATCGGCCCTGAAGTCAGGAGGACCTGAGTTCAAATCCCACCTTAGACCACACACTTGACACATACTAGCTGTGTGACCTTGGGCAAGTCACTGAACCTCGATTGCCTCACTAAAAAAAAAAAAAAAAAAAGAATAGAGTCCTGAAGGAAAGGCCCCAAGGGAGGGCATGGAGGATGAAGCCCCGTGACTGTCCTGCCCCAATCTCAGGCTCTGGTTGGTCAATCCAACATTAAAACTATTCCACATGGGTTTCCACGGAAGGATGACAATGACCTCATGGGTGGTGGAGAACGGGATGACTCACAGGGAGGAATAAAGACCAGGGGCAGAGGTAGGGAGCCCAACTGAAGCGAAACCAAAACAAACTTAGTACAGAAACACACTGAGAAAGAAAAGGTGCCCCCCAACTCCCGAAGAAGCTATGCCTGGAACATCTTCACTACACCGCAGGCCATGCTAAAGGGGGTAGGGGGGACGATGGAGACGGACACATTGGGGAGGGATCGCTCCAAAGGGACCAGCAAGGGGGAAGAAAATCTGGTCTTACCAGTGAAGATTAGGGAGGATTTACTCCGAATCTCCTCCAATTTTTGAACAAACAAAGCATTGATTTCCCTCTGCAAGGTGCCCACGGGCCTGTGGGGATTTTCAGGACCCCTGAGGCTCTCTAGGCTGCTGGAGTCAGAGGATGTGGAGCCACTGGCAGCAGTAACCAGGCTCACAACACTCCCATATTTCCCTCCTGGCCACCTGGGTTGAGAAGGGCCCTTGGCCCCACGGCATTTAGACAAGTTTCTGCTCTTCCTTCCCAGGCCCGGGGGCTGGTCATTGTCCAGGGGGGCTCGGGCAGCGCCGCGGCTGCTGTTGCTGTTGCTGTTGGTGCCACCCCCGGGACCAGGGGTCAGAGAGTCCGGCCGGGCTCGGGGCTGCTCGCTGATCCCCCAGTGTCTGAGGCCCAGCCTCCCAGCGCCTCCGAGCCCCCCGCTATACTGCTCAGGCTGGGGGTCCTCCCTGACGGCAGGCCCCGGGCAGGGCTGGCAGCCGCTCCATTGGCCCTCGACCTCAGGCCCCTCACAGGAGCCAATCATGCATTTCATGCAGCTGGCTGCCATCCCGGCAGGCCCGGACCCATCGGGGGTACCTGGCCCCTCACCTGGGGAGCCAAGGCCTAGGCTTTGGAACCTCTCTGACCTTCGGATGGGCTCGCTCAAGGTCGGGCCCTCAGCTGCGTGGCTCTGGCTTCTCCCTGTCCCGGGACCCTGGGCCTTACCTTTGGGCCCTCGGCCTGGCCCCTCACTAAGGGCTCCGGGGGCTGGGGCCGTACTCTCTGGCTCTGAGTCAAAGCGGGGCTGGGAGGTGTCCTCGCCTGCCCCCTCCAAGCCGCTGTCTTTGGTGTCCATGGTGAGTTCAGGAAAGCCCTTTTTACCCTTCTTCTGGCTCTTGGTGGGCGCGCTAGCCGTGCGCCTCAGGAGCTGTCCACTAATGGAGGGTCTGTTGTGGAACTGACCAGCAGCATGACTGTCCAGGGACGCCTGCTTTGGATTTCTGAGAAACAGGCCTTTTAAGCCCAAAGCCTGCTTGACCTGCAAGAGACAGAGCCCCACATAATACGCAGCTGCCACTGGGCCCTTCCCCATCCTCCTATGTCCATCCCACTTCTCTAAGGGATGAGGAAGGAAGGAGAAGGAAGGAGATTCTCCAACCCCCAATGGGGGCCAGAGGCAGCACCCCATTTGGAGCCCGGCCAGAAGCCATCAGCTCAGCAGGATCTACTTTGTCTGAGTGCTGGGAGAGGAGATGGGAGGGTCAATTTGAAGCAGACAAATTGTATCTGGGAGGACAGGAGGGATGTCCCACAGTGTTCACCCTCGGGAAACTGAGGAGAATGTGGAAGGGCACAAAGGTTGAATCTGTCTACCTCCCCTGCTCCCACAAAGTCTGGAGCTAGGGAGAGAGGACAGTTAGGCAGAGGAACCTTTAAGATACCCTCAACCTGAACCGTACTCCCCTATCCCGTGGTCTAGGAATGTAGACCCCCTCATAGACACAATCCCCATGCTAGGGGTGGGCGAACATCTCTCCAGGACTGTCTCTATGAATATCTAGCAGAGGGAGTAGCAGAAGCGAGGAGGTTGGGGGCTACAGGGTGGTCCTTCTGTCTACCATTGGGGTGGGCACAGGACTCTTCCCTGTGAGGAGGTCCCCGCCAGGCTAGGAGAACCAACCCAGGTGATCGCGTGGCCAGCAAAAGGCCCTGCATGGGTGCCCTCCTCCTCACCCTTCTCCTCATTCTAGAGGAATGCCCACCAATTTTGCCCCCACCTTTTCACTCCGGGTTCACCCCAGACCACATGCCCTCTGGAGGGGATCCTAGGGTGGCTATGAGGTCATAGTAAGAGGTAAGCATGGACTGAATTTTTCTGGTGTCACTGAAATTCATCAGGAGCATGGGTCCCAGCAAAGAGGGGCAAAGGGGAGAAGGGCTGAGACCACATAGGTTGGTGGCATGACCTTGCAGCTTGCCTGTCCCCCTCTGCCACCCCCTGTTGGCAACCCATAGAAAACAAGCAAGCTCCTCCGGTCAGACCCAGACCACGTGCTATAGGGCTTCATCAAAGGGGGGCTGAGCTTGTGGTTTGGAGAAAGAGAAAAACATCACAGCTGGGTGTTCAAACTGTGGAAAACCCACTGAATAGATGTACAGAACTTCAGCATTCCTAAAAACATTCCATGTGTACTTGCCAGCCCTGTATATTGCAAGTGAAGCAGGTTGGGCTGTTGAAGATTTTTGTTTGTTTTGAACAGTTTTTGTTTTTGTTATTTTTTTTTTTTCAGCAAGGGGAAGGTCCCAGAGAAGGATGGAGGAAGTGGGAGATGACTCCTCTTAGGTCTGTCTACAGATCCCACTGTACCCAACTGGCTCCAGCATGTCAAATTCAGTTTATTAGTTTCACAGGAGTCAGACCATTCAGTCTTACCCCATTCATTTTCTAGAGGAGGAGGAGCTGAAGGTCTGGAGATAGGAAGGGACTTGTCCAAGGTCATAGACAAGTGGCAAACACCAGAGCTAGGGTTGTAATCCAGGGGCTGAAGGTGGCATCATCCATACTTAGAGATGCATGGAAGGTTGAGGCTAGAAGGGACCTGAAGAGGCACAGAGTCCTCTGTCCTTCCCCTTTTATAGATAGGTATAAGGAGGTCCCAAGAAGGCCATGCGGGAAGCTAAGTGGTGGCCGACCCAGGATGAGAAAGATTTCCTAACACTTCATCCAAGGTTCTTCCCCCTCCTTTCATATGAATGTTTGTAGCCTTGAATTCCTAGAGCTAAGTTGGAATTCTCAGAGTGCTGAGCTCAGTATGGAAAAATGTTTAGGGGATACTTTTCCCAGGGAGAGGGGCTGGACCAGATGGCTTCTTGGTCACCTTTGACTTTTGGGATTAGGATTGGCTGAGTCCTAGCTGCCAATAGGGAGCTGTCCCAAGTATGTAGTGGGGAAGATGTGGGGAAGGTGTGCAGAAGGCTTCATCCATGGATACCCTAGGAGAGCCAAACCTCCCACTCATGGCTCTGGCTCCCTCCATCTTTCCTCCTTTCCTCCCCCTGCCATGCCTGGCAGGCTTAGAGCCAGGTATAGGTGGCTCACTGCAGCCATCAGCCAGGACCCTCCGCCACCTAGCCCAGAAAAGCTGGTTCTCTGGACACAAATTGGAAGGACCAAAAGCCTAGTGGGCAGCATCAGCTTGGAGACAATCCAGAGAGGTTGGCAAGTACCCAGAGTTACTGCTGGGAGATGAGAGTAACCAGCATCCTTAGCAAATGCTTGCAGAGTTCAGATAGAAGAGGTTCAGAGAGTAAACACACGCACGCACGCACACACGCAAACTCCCATCACAGACAAAAACATCAACAATCCCTCCCACCCTCCCACCCTGCCCCAAGGATGGGATGGTGTGTGTGGCCAGGGCCCATGGGAGAGCTAGCTCCCAGGGGGGGGCATCCTGGAGGCAAGGAGAGCAAGGAGCCATCATACTTGAATCAGCTGACTGATTCAAGATCCCAAATCCAGTGCAAATTTGGTGAAAGGTCACAGGAAAGTCATTTAGAAGAAGATCCAGAATGTTAGCTTTGAACTTGGCAGAAACATTCCACCCCTACCCTCCACCCCCAGGCAGAGGGCAATCAGGGGAGGGGCCTTTGAGAAAGGGGCCCCAGGAGCTTATACCCATTGGTTTGAATGGAAGAGCCAATCAAGGTGAATGACCTGGACTGTGGGAACCCAGGGAGAATATTTGAACGAAAGGTTTCTTTTTTCTGTGAAAGAAGAAAGGAGAGAAAAAGTGTGTGTGTGTGTGTGTGTGTGTGAGAGAGAGAGACAGAGAGACAGAGAGAGAGACAGAGAGAGAGAGAGAGAGAGAGAGAGAGAGAGAGAGAGAGAGAAGAGAAGAGAAGAGAAGAGAAAAGAAGAGAAGTGAAGAAAAGAGAAGAGGAAAGAGGAGAGAAAGGGGGAGAGAGGGAGAGGAGGGAGAGGAGAGGAGAAGAGAAGAAGAGGGAGACAGAGAGGGAAGGAGAGAGGGAGGGGTAGAAGGAGGGAAGGAGAAGGAGAGAAGAAGAGGGAGGGGAAAAGGGAGGAGGAGGGGGAAGAGAGAGAGAGAGATGGAAGGGCAAAGGAGAGGAGGAAAAAGGAATCAGAGGAGAGACAGGGAGAGGAGAAAAAGAGAAAGGAAAGAAGAATGATCGAGAGGAGAAATAAAAGGGATGAGATAGAAGAGAAAGAATAAGAGATAAAGAGGGAGAGAGGCTATGAACAAAAGAGAGGAGAAAGGGGAGGTGTAAGGGGGGGGAAGAGAGAGAAGGGGTAAGAAGGATGAACGTGAGAAGAAAGAGAAGCAAGAGAAGAAAAGGAGATGCAAGAAAGAGAAGGGAGTGGGTTGAGAGGAAAGTGGGAAGGAAGGGACGAGCAAAGAGGGGACAAGAGCAAAAGCTGAGCCCTCAGGGCCTTCCATCCTGGACCTGCTTCATAAATGGCGGGTTTTCTGGCTCCAGATGGCCCCACCATATCAAGGAGGAATGTCACAATCCATGAGTTGAAGAGTTTCAGAAATGTCAATGAGGAGGCGGAGGAAGAGGGGAGGTGACTAGTCTGAGAGCATGCAGGTCAGCTGGCGGCGGCGGTCACTACACCTTCCTGAGACAGGTCGGGGGGTACCTTCAAGGCTCCTAACCATTCTCTGCTTCTAAAAGAAGACTTTGGACGCAGAGAAGCCCACTGTAATACCAAACAGACAGAGTAAAGGCAAATCAGACAGCAACAACATTGGGGGGAACAAGGGGTGTCGGTCAGCACACCTGGAAAGAGCCCCACCACACAGAGAAACCACAGGTGGGGAGAGGGCGGGGAAGGAAGGCAGAAGACACGGCAAACATAAGCAAGAAGCTTTGCGTGGTGGAATGAGAGAGGCCGGAGTGGGGGTGGGGGCAGGGCCCAGGAGCCAGGGGCAATTTGGTCCCACCCATGAATCCAGCTCTGTATTCTTAAGAAATGGATGAGCACCCTAGGCTTTAGAGCCAAAAGGGACATTAGAGATCACCCCGTCTAGCTCCCTCATCTTATGGAGGTGGTAAGTGAGTCCCTGAGAAACCAAGTGACTTGTTTATAGTCACTGTCCTCAGAACCATCATTTGAACCCAGCTCCCTCTGACTCTGAGTCTAATTGGACCCAGCTTAGCTGCAGCCCTCCTAGGAGGGCATCCCACAGCTGTCCAGGTGGGTCTCCCAATGGTTCTGGCCATTACTGCTGGAGACAGGGTGGCAAGAGAGGTCACCCTGGTGACTGGTGAGTCTCTAGGAACTCAGGGGACTCAAACTCACCCCTAGAGGCCCAGAGACCAGATCAGAGGACTGGAGAGCCGGAGAGGGGCTAAGGCTGAGTTGTAGGAAGTGCTGGCTCACTGGGGACTCCAGGAACCATCTAAAACTCATTGCCCCTTAATTCTAATCTCCTGCTGTTGGAGATTTTTTTCTCCATCACCCCCTCTCCCCCCAACTCTCACCGTATCTCTCTGAGGCTGTGATGGGGAAAGGGGGCAAAAGGAATACAAACCAGGACAGAAGCTGAGGGAGGGAGAGGAAGGGACCCCAGGGGAATTGAGACAGAGGCTCAGGAGCTGGGAGCGGGGAAGGTGGAAAGGTCAGAGGAATGCAACAAGGGACCTCAGACATAGAATAAAGAAACAGAGCACACGGGAAGAGAGGGAGGAGGAAAAGCACCCGTCCAATCTCCCAGACACGGCTGCAAAGGCTCAGCCAGACCCAGACACCCTGCTTTCCTCCCCACTCTGCCCTGGCAAATCAAAACAGTCCCCAACACAGACTGCGGAGGGGCTCGAGGTGAGAAGGAGGGGGCTGTCAGGGGACCTCCCATAGGTGAGGTCAGGGGATGGGCAAACAGAGAGGGGCTTCAGGGCAGGAGGTGGGGAGATGGATAGTTAGGACTATGGGGGAAGGAAGCAGAAGGAAGGAGAGAAGGAAAGAGCAGGGCCCTGACGGAAGGGAAGAAAGAGGGAGGGAAGAGAGACAGGAAGGGAGAGGGAAGGAAGGTCGAGGTTTCGAGGGAAGGAGAAAGAAGAGGAGAAGAATGGGGGGAAAGGGGAGGAAAGAGAGATGAAGGGAAGGTCAGGGCCATGAAAGAAAGAAGGGCAGGAGGAAAGGGGAAGGAAGGGGAAATAGAGAAAAGGAGCAGAAAGAGGAAGGAAGGGTAGAGGAAGGGAAAGAGAAGAAAAGGTAGAAGGAATGAAGAAGAAAGAAGAGAAGAGGAAGGAAGGGAAGAGAAAGGGAAGATGAGAGCAGGGGAAAGTCAGGGCCATGGGGGAGGGAAGATCAAGGCCTTCACTGGATCAAGAGGAAGTAAATCTGACAAATCCATCAGACCCCTTTATCCTGGCACCCAGGGACTCAGAGTCAGGCTCTGAATCTGCTGTGCATGAGACCAGAGAATGGTCTTCAACAAGACACTTAACCCTTGTTTAACTTCCCTGATTCACAGGGTGCTGCTGTGTGCCCTTCCAGGCCACTAGGGAGTGGCTGATGAGCCATGCTGAGCTGGCTAGGGCAGCAGACTTTTCCTCATATGTCCTGCCTGGGTAAAGGGGATGAGGCCATCTGATGGAGATGGCAGACACTTGTACCCAGACTAAGGAGTCTGGGTCAGGGGCCATGATCTCTTTAGCTAAGCAGCACTCAGGAGGCCTTATGATAAGGAGACCGTAGGCCTTCCCTTCTAGAGAAAGGAAAAGATGAATGGGCAAGGAAAGCGAGAAATGAAGGGAGAAGGGAGAGAGAGAGACAATGAGAGACCTCAAAGAAATGGCCAGGCTTGGGGTGGGATAGGAGACAGGACATTCCTCAGGGACACACTACCCTAAGTTAGAAACTGCTCATTTTAAAGCCTGGGCTGCTGAGTCTAATAACAGCTACCTCACGTAAACTGTAGGATAAATGGGATGCTGAGTAGGGCGAATTATCACCTACTCTCATCCTCCCCAAAGCACTGGGGCCTGATGTCCATCCTGTCCACATTTCCCATGCAATCTTTGGAGAGACTCTGACCTCTACACAGCCTGAACTTGTTATTAAGGTGTGCCTTCATTGAAACTGATGCTCTCTATTGTATACAGATGTCAGGCTCTAGAATTCTGGAGTGTCAGAACATAGAGCGACAGAGCTGGGAGAAGCCTCAGAACACAGAATTGTAAAGTTCAGCTAGAGACCTTGGGACATAGAGTGTCAGCTCTCAGAAGGGCCTTTTGGACAATGCTCAGTAGGGAGGGACCTACCTGTTTGCATCTTGAATGTACAGAATTACTGGCGTACTGTCTCTCCCATTAGGACGTGCGCTTCTTGAAGGCAGAGGTGGCTTTTCCCTTTTTTATGTCACCAGTGCTTAGCTTAAAACAGTGCCTGGCACACAGAAGGTGCTGGATACAAGCTTGTCAACCGACTGACTGACTTAGGATATAAATGTCAGAGCTTGGAGGGAGCCTTGAACATAGAAGCTTATTGACTGATTGACTAATTGACCTTAGCATATAAATGTCAGAGCTCGGAGGGAGCCTTGAACATAGAATGTTAGAGCTGGGATGGAGCTTAGAGGTGGTCTAACCCTCTTAGTTTACAGCTGAGGAAAGGGGAGGGAAGGAATTTGGCCGCTGGTCCAGAGTCAGGGACTTCAGCCCAGATCTGACTCCCAGTATGTGGGCAGTCTCTCCTCCCCTTTCGAGATTTCACAAGTTGACCGGTGTGAGAGATCTCACACAAAAGGAGTCTCAAGAGAATCTCTCTGCCTAAGAGGTTCTGACCTGACTCTGAGCTGGAGAAATCAGCAGGAGAAGGTTCTCCTATCTCTCAGATGTCTCTCTCATTCTTCTTAACTTAGGGTCTGGGCTAAGAACGGGAGGACCCAAGGGGGCCTTCTATTGAGACAGCTGACAATAGGGGGCGTGGCTGAACCCCACTGCCCCGGAGGGAACATTTGCCTTCTTACTAACGTCTGTAGGAGAGCGGACAAGGGGTGGGGCTGATGTTTGTACGGGCTAGTTTCTGCACTGATAGCTTTAGCCCAGCTCCCAAGCTGGGGTGTGGGAAGGCCACAACCTTTCATGGGCTACCAGGAAATAGAAAGAAGCCATGGGAGGAGTTGGGGGTCTAAACTCCTTGAAGGCAAATGTTCTACTCTACCTCCCCACATTGAGGAAAGGTGGGGGGTGAAGGGGGGCGGGGACTGAGAATCTGAGAATATCTCTTAAATGGGTGTTACCTCTGGGACAACCAAAGGATTCACTGGGTCCTTGAGCTGGCCAGGTGACACCATTTCAGTTCCATTTTGTGTATCAAAGGGAAGAAACTTTCCCTTTACCCAAACATCTTATATGCACATAATTATTTGCATGTTATCTTCCCCATTGGAATATGGAGTCCTTGATAGCAGGGACTGTTTTTGCCTTCCATTGTATCCCTAGTGCTTGGCACAGTGACTGGTATGTAGTAGACACTTCAAAAACACTTGTTGATTGACCTTCTGACCAGTTACAGCTTATTGTCTCAACCTTCACCTGAAGGGCCTGTCAATTTGAAAACCAGGACGTCCCAGGAAAGAACCCAAGTCTAGCAATGCAGGTCCTCTCCCTCCCCTCAACTTTGTGTGGGCTTCCCTGGGAAGAAGGACTGGTATCCTCAGGTCAGTCACAGCCCAGATCCCAACAAGATCCCCTAAGGGATCCCCATGGTGGCCAAGGGTACTCACCTTACCCGAGATGTCATTGATAGCTACATGAACAAAGATGGAGGCCTCTTCTATCCCTTCCAGGTAGACATGTCGATAACCTAAAATAAAGATCATTGAAGTACAGAGGAGGTGGGGGGGAGGTCTTTCTGGCCACAACAAGCACCCACTTCCAGGTCAGGCACTGTGTTAGGTGCTAAGGACACCCCCCAAATATGGAACAGTTCCTGCTCTCATGGAGCTTCCACTCTTCTGGGATACAGGTTTTGTGTAGGACTCTATTCACTGTGGGCCCCTAACTGATGAGCTAGACCAGTCTTTGGAAAGCAGACTTGGAAATATACTCAGGGGTAGCACCTGCCAAAACTTATAATCCACTGACAAAGGCTTTGAGATCCCAGGGTCATCCACTACCATAATGAAGCTTTTATCTTCAAAATGTCAAAAGAAGTTGAGGAAGGCCCCTCAGTATGTTGAGTGAGCCACCATCACAAGTTTATGGGAGGGCATGGACTAGTATAGCACCAGCAGAGATAGATGCATTGGTGAAAGGCAGGGGTGTCCAACTCAAACAGAAACGGGACTGCTAAGCTGTACATGAGGACCCCTGCATGCCACATGTTGATTTAGTTTTAACATGTAATATTATCTATGTTTTATTGTTATTTGGTTAAACATTTCCCAATTACATTTTCATCTGATTCAGGCTGTACTTGATTGACCCTTCTGGTGGAAGGAACACTCACAACAGCCACTGAATATTGGCATGTCTCTAGTTGTTCGTGAGCTTTCCATCTTTACCGATTTACCTGCTTATATCTTGTATCCCCTCGCTAGAATGGAAGCTTCTTGATGCCAGGGAACATTTTCCATCCTGTCTTTTCATCCATAGTATCTAGCCAGTGCCTTAGCCAGAGCTCGTTGAATTGGTTATTGCCCAGTGACTCGGAAATGGAGAACTCACCTGGCATCATGCTGTTAAATGCCAATGTCCTCTGTCCAATGAAGTCCCGCCCAATGGGGTCATGATCCCAAACCAGGAACCGGACCAGTGCGATCTCCGGCATGTGCACTGTGAACACCAGGGTCTCCTCCCACATGGGGTTAAAGCCTAGAGGCCAGAGAAAGGCAAGGTGGACTTGAGCCCAGAGGAAAAAACAGGTTTCATCTCTGACTCAACTCCCTTTTCCAGGGTCACCATATATTATTCCCTTTATTTCACTTTAATCTTCTTCTTTTGCATGCCAAAAGTAATGAAGAGTCCCCTAGCCCACCAAAATCCACTCCAGCATGAGGAAGGACTGTCTTTGCCCAGAATCATTAGAGTTACTCTCGTGACTGGTTACCATCACCTCCCTTTTCCACAGCCCAAAGACTTTGGTTCGTCCTTCATTCTCAAAGAGGACCAATGACATCAGGAGGGTCTTGACTTGTGGGTGAACTGGATTTAAGTGAGGCAGAGCTGTGCACAGTCATCAACCTCACTCCTGAGACTAAGAACGTAAAAGGAAGCAACTGCCCTTCAGAGTCCATCTGATTCTCACCATGACCAGAAAAGGAGGGAAGAGAGAGGGAGGCAGGTGGGCATCACTGTCATGCACGCCCTCCCTGCTCTCCTAATTCAACTGTGAGTTCTAAAGGTTAGGGAGGGTTATCTCTACTTCTTTGGGAGTTCTCTCCTACAGCAGACAGTACAGGGTTCTGGCCCCATACGTTGACACAGGGAGGGTGAAGAGTGAAGGGAAGCAATGCTCACCATTGTCATCCACGACCCTCGTCTGCTCCTTGTTGCAGTCCACTGGTAATCCAATGATCTCCACTTCCACAAAAGGGTCGATGATCTGGAAGGCAAATAGGAGGATGAGGGGTGGGTGGGAAGCTTGGGAGGTCAGTTAGTACAGCCTTCTATCTTCCAAGACATCCCTATGTTTCATAAGTACGTCTTAGAGTCATACAGGCACCTAGGTGGTATAATGGACAGAGGACTGGATGTGGAATCAGAAAGATGAATTCAAATCCAGATATAGATGCTTACTAGCTATGTGATCTTGAGCAAGTCACTTAACTGATCTCTGCCTCATATGTAAAATAGAAATACTCATAGCACCCACTTCCCAGGGTTGCTGGGAGATATTTGTAAAGTGCTTCACAAATCTTACAAATATGGGCTATCATCATCATCATCGTGACTGGAAAGGCCATTGGAGATCTTCCATTTAACAGATCCTCTCATTTAACAGATGAGGAAACTGAAGCCCAAAGAAAGACAATTACTTGGCCAGGATCACATAGTATATTAGTAGCAGGAAGAAGGCTTGAAATCAGTCACAGAATCACAGAGTTGGAAGGGATCTCAGAGGCTGTGCCGTCCAACCCATACTGGAAAGAGAATTTCCCCTCCTACAAGACATCCATCAAGTGGTCTTGTAGCCTCTGCCTGAAGACTTCCAGCAGTCCATCCTGCTTTTCTCATCATTGCAGGATGTCCAAGTCTCCTTCCTACATCTCCTTGATCCTCAGCCCGTTACACCAGGCTGCTTGTTTCCTGTTTTTATCCCCTGGCCCACATCATCCTTGCCCAATCCCCTCTGGGACCTGTTGGCACTGGCCAGCTCACCTGCAAAGATGAGGCCAGCCCCTTGTCCAATACTCCCACCTACCTCTCCTCGGTCGCCCAACATGGAGTCCCGTGGTTTGGGGAGCTGCTGTCCACTGATAATCCGGAGTATCAGCTGTTTCTTCAGCTGCCCTGGGAGAGGGTCTTCAGAGTTGGGATTGAAGACACCTAGAAAAAGACGGAACCCAGGGATGTAACACAGAGGATCCCCTCTCTTGGCCACAGATTCCACTGGGGAAATTGGAAGCAAGGATCTCTGCCCTTCACTGAGAGACCAGGCCACATGACTGAGTTACTGGAAGCTCAGTCAATCATCAGTCAACAAGCTTTCTTAAGCAGTGATTCTGAGTCAGACACTGGGCTAAGAACTGGGGACAGAAATAAAGCCAAAACTATGGTCTTTGACCTCAGAAGCTCCCATTCTAATGGAGCAGACAACATGCAAGTAATTCTGTATAGACAAGAGACACACACTGTTTCAATGAAACGCAAGGTGGGGAGGGGATTAGGAATGCTTCCTGCAGAAGGTGGGATTTGAACTAAGTCTTGAAGGAGGTTAGGGAAGCCAAAAGGTAGAGGCGAGGAGGGAGAGAGAGCATTTCAGGTCAGCCAGAGGTAGCTTGGTATGGTGGGACACGCTCTGGATTCAGAGTTTGGAGACCTGTGTTCGAGTCCTGATGCTCTATGATCTTAATCAATTTCCACTCTTTCTCTGGGCCTCAGTTTCCTCATCTGTAAAATGTGAGGGCTGGATCAGATAATAATGACCACTTCTGCAGTACTCTAATCTATTCAAAGAGCTTTATATCCAAGTACCTCAGTTGAGCCTCATAAGCACCCTATGAGATGGGTGTGAGAGATATTAACTTTGTTTCATGTATTTTTTGTTTTTTTTTTTAATATTTGGTGAGGCAATCAGGGTTAAATGACTTGCCCAGGGTTACACAGCTAGTGAGTATCAAGTAACTGAGGACAGATTTGAATTCAGGTCCTCCTGACTCCAAGGCCAGAACTCTATCCACTGCATCACCTAGCTGCTTCAAACTCTGTTTTATAAATGGGGAAACCAAGACCCAGAGAATTTTAGTGAAGGCAATGGGGTTCAATAGAAAAAAATACCAATTATGGAGTCAGAGGATCTTTGTTCAAATCCTACTTCTGATGATGACCACCTGTGTGACCTTAGGCACATCACTTGGGCCTCAGTTTCCACATTCGTAAAATGAAGTGTTGGACTATATAACTTCTGATATCCCTGCCAGTTCTAGTTCTCCCCTCTGACCTCCATGGGCCTCAATGAACGTTAGGCCAGATGACCTCTGGAGTCTTTTTCAAGTCCAGAACAATGATTCTGTGATGTGCCCACAGTCATACGGCCAACAAACAAAAGGGGCAAATGTTGCACTCAGGTCTCTTTGACTCCAAATCCAGCCCCTTTGCCCCTACACCCTCCTGTTTTGCTTATCTTTGCTGTTGTTTAGTTGATTAGTTGTGTATGACTCTGACCCTGTTGGAGGCTTTCTTGGCAGAGATACTGGAGTAGTTTGCTGTTTCCTTCTCCAGCTCATTTTACAGATGAGGAAACAGAGGCAAACAGGTGAAGTGACTTGCCCAGGGTCACACAGCTAGTAAGTGTCTGACACTTTGAACTCAGGTCCTCCTGACTCTAAGGCTGGCTCTCTAGCACCACCTAGCTGCCCTTGACTATCTTTAATACCCTTTTATTCTATGGCTATGAACCCCAATCCCCTTAAAAGGAACACACCTTACCTTGAGTATATATGCCTTATTACCCCATGATCATGGTCTTTCTCAATACTAGCCTCTGTTCCAAGCCCATACCATGAACGTAATCCCCTCAGGTGCATCACTCAGTCTATGAATGTAACCCCCTCAGGTACATCACTTAATCTAAAACTCCCAGGATGCTGAGGACAGTCTGCTAGTCAGACAGGCTTCGGGGTTGACAAATAAGGCTGCCTGAGGGACAGGGGGCTTTGTTGAAGTGAAGCTAAGCAGACCAGGTCCAGCCTGGCCCCATCCACAAGAATGACAACCTCCAGAATTCTATTAGCAGAGTACCAGACTGGGGTCTGGCAGATACCAGTCCTTGGAGGGCCAGGTTGAGTGGCTTCAGCATAGCCAGTTGTGAATGTAACATCCCCTTCAAATGCTTTCATCCAGCCTGTTATCTGTGGCAGCTACAGGAGTAGATAAAGGATTTGAAAACTTGAGCATGAGGGGAAGTGGGGGCAGAAAGAGAAGAAATGGGGTTTAAAATTTTTTTAAAAATTCAAAGTCATTTTCTTGAGCCAAGGAGGGTGAGGGGATGAGAGTGGAGACAGTTCAGAGGCTGTGCATGGGCAGACAGATGGGGTCAAGATGTACCACACAGTCCTTGGAGCATCAATCCTTCCACCCCCACCCCCCCACCCCCCAGCCCTGGGCCTGTTAGAACAATCTCCTCATACCAAAGGGCTAGCAGATAGCTCCCCAGCAGGAAGGCAATGCACATGGGCTCCATCTGCTGCAGCTGCCCCCCTTTCCCCACCAAAATGGCTGCAGGGGCAAGAGTGCCAAGTTGTGTCTTCACCAGGCATCACCCAATTACTCAGATTAGATTGTAAGCTGCTGGAGGACAAGGTTTGTCTTTTGCCTTTTTTTGTATCTCCAATACTTAGCACACTGCCTGGTATATAGGAGGTGTTTAATACATGTTTGTTGACTTACTGGCTCCAGGTTTTGCTTGCTTAAGTGACCCAGATCCATTTATATTGCTTGTATTGTCTCCTCCAATAGAATGTAAACCCCATGAGAGCAGGCCATCTTTAATTTGTGGTTTTGTATCCCCAGTGCCTGGCGCTCAGCAGGCATTTCATCGATGCCTATTGAATTGATCCGAATCCCAAACGTTCAAAGAACAGGATGATCTCAGACTCCTTGGTTATGTGTTTGAGTCCTCCCAGCCAGGACCTTCTTCCTGATGCCAGCTCTAAGTTCCTGCTTTTAGAGGGTGACTCACCTGCTCCTTTTCATCCTTCTAGATGCTATGGCCTCCCCATGTTTCCATCGTTCTCTCCCCTTCCCTTCCCACTTGTAGATGCCCAGTATTGATTTTTAGACTCTTAGAGATAGTGTGATACAACAGGCAGATCTCTGACCCTGCTGTCAGAGGTTCAGATTCCTCTCCTGGCATTTTCTACCCAAGGAAACCCCAGGCAATTCCTTTACCTCCCTGCGGCTCCATATCTGTAAAACAAGGGGGTGAGACTCAGGGTCCAGGCAGGCCCTCTTAGCTTGATAATGAGGAGGATCTAGTCTTTTCCACAGCCAGGACCCAGCCAGAGATGCTCCCTCTCACCTTGACACATGCACTGGGGCTTGAGGACATAGCCACAGTTGCCGTTGGCATTGAACTTGGCGCGGTTCAGCTGGAGCATCCTCCCCTCTGATTGGTAGTTGAGGGCAACTGTGGGGAAAACATGAGATCGAGGTCAGTTCTGAGCCTGAGCCAGCTGGGCAGAGAAAGGACCAGTTTCCCCCTGGCTGGAGCCAGGGCTGGCAGGGAAATAGGAAGCCCAAAGGGGACCTGTTGCTTCCAAGCACAACCACTCAATTCATCCCATGCCAGTAAAAACTCATTGAATTAACAAATATGAGGACTCAGTATTCGAGAGAACAAGAGGAGGGAAATAAGCATTTATTAAATGCCTACTATGTGCCAGGCACTGCGCTAAGTGTTTTACAAGTTTTATCTCATTTGATCCTCACAACAACCTTAGGAGGTAGGTGTTGTTATTATTTCAATTTTAGAGTTGAGGAAACTGAGGCAGAGAGAGGTTAAGTGTCTCACCTAAGGTCACACAGCTAGTAAATGTCTGAGGCTGGATTTGAACTCAGGTCCTTTGACTCCAAATCTCCCTGCCAAGATTCTTTACATGATTTATTCCAATAGGGTTGTTTTGAGGCAACAGTAATTCAAATCATGAATGGGGGTGTAGGTGTGAGCACTTGTGTGCCTAGCACAGTGCTGGGTCCCTTGGAGGAGACAAGGAATTACAAATCATGGTCCTTCCCCATGGGCAGCTCATAGGTTAGTCAGGAAGACAAAATACATGAACACACACACTATTGGCATGAAGCTGCATGTGATTCAAGACTGAGTTTGGGTATTGCAGGCCTCAGGACTGAAGGAGAGGTTTAGAGAAAAGAGAAATCTTCAATGGATGAAGGTGTGGTCAGGGAAAGCTTCAGGGAGGAGGTGGTACCAGGGCCTTGAAGGGGGGGGCAGGACTGGGGAAGGGCGCTCTTTGCAGCTATCACCCTTTGCTCCCAGCTCTCCCTCCTGGGGCCAAAGGAAAGGCATTCAGTCATTTTCCAGTCATGTCCAACTCTTTGTGACCCCATTTGGGGTTTTCTTGGTAGAAATACTGGTTTGCCACTTCCTGTTCCAGCTCATTTAACAGATACAGAAACTGAGGCACACAGGGTTAAGTGACTTGTCCAGGGTCACACAGCTACTAAGTGTCTGAGGCCAATTTGAACTCAGGAAGATGAATCTTCCTGACTCCAGGCCTGATGCTCTATTCATTGCATCACCTAGTTGCCCCAGGGGCCTAGTGGATAGAGTATGGGACTTGCAGCCAGAAAGACGAGTTCAAATCCAGCCTCAGGCACTTATTAACTTTGTGACAAGTTTCTCAGTCTCAGTTTGCTCATCTGTAAAATGAGATAATCATTTCACCTAAACTCTTGGGATTATTGAGAGGATCAAATTAGATGTTTGTAAAGTACTTTGCATACCTCAAAGAACTGTATAAATACTAATATTTATTATTGTTGTTATTATGACTATTGGAAGAAAGCCAGGGATTCCAAAGGGTGGGGGTTGGGGATGAGGAGGGAAACCATTCCAGGCATGGGATGGAAACATGTACAAGGATGCATTAGCATGGATTCGTGGATTTGAAGGCAGAAGGGACCTTAGAGATCATCTGGCTCAAATGTCCCATTTTATGGATGAGAAAACTGAGGTTCAGAAATGTGCTATGATCTGTCCAAGGTCACATAGATAGTAAGTGGCAAAGGCAGGATATGGACCTACTTCCTCTGCTTATTGATCCAGCTCTCTTTCCACCAGGAACATGGGAGAGTATGGGAGACAGCAAAGAGATGTGCCCAGCTGGAAGGGAGGATGTGCACTGGGGAGCAGCAAGAAATGAGGGGAGGGCAAGATCATTTGCATTTCTTACATCCTTATCACACCCTGCTTTACACTAGGGAGAGTGTACACCAGCAGAGGTCTTGTTTCCCCTATCAGATTGCAAGCTGTTGGAGGACAGACCCTCTGCATTACCCATCTCTGTATCCTCTATGATACCTAGACAGAGGACTTAGCACATATGTACAGGGTGTTTAATAAATGTTTGTTGAGGGGCAGCTAGGTGGTGCAGTGGATAGAGCACCGACCCTAAAGTCAGGAGGACCTGAGTTCAAATCTGACCTCAGACCAAAACACTTGACACTTACTAGCTGTATGACTCTGGGCAAGTCACTCAACCCCAATTGCCTTTAAAAAAAAAAATAAATGTTTGTTGGATGAATGAATTACGTGACTGTTGAGTTCCAGGTTAAACAACCTGGACTTTATCCTGTGGGTAGTAGTGAGCCATTGCAGACTTTTGAGCAGGGGAGATGTGTGCTAAAAATACTCGGACACCTTCAAGTCCAGTTTTCGGCCCCAGAGAATCTTACAGGCGTCCTCTCTTGTTCTCCCTGGGGCATCCTTCTCCCAAGCTTCTGCTCCTCCAGTCTGACCCTTCTGTTTACTTACCCATCTGACATCCAGCGTTCCAGAAGGGCTGAGGATTGTAGTTACTTGAGTCGACCCGGTAAGAGGATGGGTAGATACGGGAAAGCTGGTGCTGGTTGAAACGCAGGTAGTGGGCCGGCTTCTGTTGTAGAATCTGATGGGCCTTGGTCTCACTAAAGGATGATACTTGCCAACTGCAGGAAACTAGTATTAGAAATTAATCAGAGTAATCAATTAATCAAATTAATTAATTAATAAACGGTTAATCCAGTTGAATTCACACCTGACACTCAACTCAACTGCAAAGTACTTAGCACAGTGCCTGGCACATAGTGCTATATTTATGTTATTAATTATTATTATTATTATATTGCATGAAAGGCCAAGTGGATCACACAGTACAGACTAACTTGCTCTGTGACCTTAGGTAGGTTGCTTAACCTCTCCGGGCCTCATTTTGATCAATAAAATAATAAGATTGGACTAGATGGTCCCAAAGGCAGGCAGGTGGCCAAGGAGAGTGATGAGTCTGGAGTCAGGAAGAACTGAGTTAAAATGTAGTCTCAGATACTTACTAGCTCTGTGTGACTATGGGCAAGTCATATAATCTCTGTCTGCCTCAGTTGCTTCAACTATAACATGGGGATCATGAGAGCACCTAGCTCTCAGGTGAGGATCTCATGAGGTAGTATTTGTAAAGTGCACGTAGCATAGTAGGTGAATAATAAACGCTTGTTTCTTTCCTTCTATCATCACTTCCAGCTTTGATGGTCTATGAGTCTATAGCTATGGTAACTACCTCCCAGGGACGCAGTCTAACTGGGACGTGGATACAAAAAATCAGATAGGAGAGATACGAACAGAGTAACTCAAGAGCTGAAGGGAGGAGATATTACTTTTGACTAACCGGGTAGAGGGGAAGAGATTATGAGGTCGGATGGGACACTTTAATTATACTAGTTACATTTAATTATATACAATTTATATAAATATTATAGAGTATAGATTACATTTATATAGTACATGAAAGTAAAAGTGTTTTGTAAACTTAAACCTGTAGGAAACGCTGCAAATGTTTGTTTGGCATTTACAGCCTTTTAGTTTATAAACAATTCCAATCACACTCTGGTCATCTTGCTCCCTGGTCCTCCTAAGACTAGAAGCAGCCTCAGAGAAGGGGAAAGGTTACTGGATGTGGGTAGACAGAAACCACGTGAGAGCCTTCCAGCCATCTGCCAGTGAGGAAGGAGAGAGATAGATGATTCCCTTAGAGCCCCTCATACAAATTGGCTCTTGTAATAATGAGCCTGAGCCATCGAGTGAGCATTTGGTCCTGTTCAGAATAAATGATGAAAGTATGTGATACATTTTAAGAACAAGTTTGATTCAAATGGGTTTCAATTAAATTTAAAAAGTGATAATGTTTTAAAAGGCTTGGTGCTTAAGAGGAGGTATGTCATGTCATCTGGAGATCACTTGGAGAATGTTCCAGCTGAATCGTGACAAGGCTGGTCTCAGTCACCGCCTTCTTTCTCTCTTAAGCCCAGGAGAAGCCAGGACTCAAGGCAGATATTAGAGAAGAAAAATCTCTCTGGGGCAGAAACACACAATTGTAATGACCATGGAGTGGAATGAAGGGTCAGGCAAAATCCCAACCCCACCCTCTGAAGAGAAGATCCCACCGAGTGAAGCTTCACCCCTCAGTGAAGGAACGTGGACTTCTCGGCATCTAGGTGGCCTCACTTCTGAATACAGAGGTTTGGCTTTCCCAAATTGGGGCCGATTTAGGGTTGGGCATCTCTGTCCCTCGGGACTAGCTGCCCACCGTGCCAGGAATACCCTCCATCCTCGTCACCACTTTTTGGAATCTCTTGCTCTCTTCAAAGCTCAGCTGAAGGACCACCTCCTACCATGGTCCTTTTCTTTGACCTCAGAGGGCAGACCCAAGCAGCATGGAGGTCAATTTCAGCTCTCAAATGAAAGCTGTCTCAAAATGGAATGGGTTGCTTCTGGAGGTGGTGACAGCCTCTCCCTCACTGGAAGTCTTTGAGCAGCAACTGGAAAACCACTTATTGAGTACCTTACAGAGGGAATTACTTTCATGAGCTGGGTAGACCAGATCTGACAGTCAGTCAACAAACATTTATCCAGCTCCTATCATGTGCCAGGCACTGTAATTACTACTAAGATAGCCCCTTATGTCCCTCCCATAGACTGCTATCAACATCCCCTCCCCCAATTGCCTCGAATTTATTTTGCATGAACATATCTATCTATCCATCCACCCACCCACCCATCCATCCGTCCATCCATTCATCCATCCATTCATCCATCCCCTCTCCTCTCTTCTCCTTCAAATAGAGTGTAAGCTCCTTGAGGGAAGATATCGTTTCACTTTTGACTCTGTCTCCCCAGAACACAGGTGCTTAACAAATGTTAGTCAATAGAAATCATCTAGTTTAACTTTCTCATTATCCAGAGAAGGAGATCAAAGGTCAGGGATAGGGAATGGCATTTTCAAGGTTGCACAAAGAGTAGGGAACCTAAGGGGCAACTGAGCCCAGGGCTTAAGGCTCCACGACCATCACCCCTTTACTGGACCCTGACAACCCTAAAGGATGCAGTTATACATCACTCTAAGGTTCACAAAGTTCTTTAAAAGCCTCATGACCCCATGAGGTAGGCAATGCATCCCATATGCACCTCCCTCCCCAGTTCCCTTAAACCCCACCTCCATCTGCATCTCTCTCCCTTCCTCTCCTCACCCCTCCTCCCTGTAGCTCCCTTCCTGTCTCCCTTCCACCTCCCCTCACCGCTACACCTCCCCTTACTCCTCTAGTTCTCTCCCCACTTCTTCTTACTCCCTGGGATCTGGGGGACTGTCCCTACTTACTCTCTGTTTCCACGTCATGGATTCCAACAGACTTGGTGTATTTCACCAGGTCAGAGAGAGCCCTGGACAGTTTCATGGTCTTCTTCTGTCGGTTTATCCTACATAAACCGAGTGAGAGTAGAGGAGCAAGAATCATGGTCAGCTCACACAGGTACAAGTTCTCACCTCCATCTTCCCAGAGCTCATCAGATACAACCGTCATGCCACAGGGTAGTATGGAGCAGTAGCTAGAGTAATGGACTTAGAATCAGGAAGACCTGAGTACAAGTCCTTCCTCAGATACTTACTAACTGAAACCTCAGTTTTCTCATCTGTAAAATGGGGGAGTGGGTCTGGATGGCCTTTGAGGTGCCTCCCAGCTCTGGAGCTAAACTCTAAGAACCTTTGGGATGTGCTCAGATGCTCAACCTTATCCCTGGATGCCCTGCTGGACCTCTACCCATCCCTTCCCATCTCTGATCACCAGGTGCCTGCCCCAGGGAACTGACCCTCTGCTCTGGCTTCCTTGGGAGTCCAAATCATCATCGGCTTCTTCTATGCTGGAAGTTTTCTTTAACTTGCTCCCTTTTTTCTGCATAGGGAGGAGAGAGATGTGATGTTAGCCAGCCACAGAAAGTCAGCATCTACACAGCAGTGAAAAGAATGCTTGATTTAACAGAGGCTGTGGGTTCATATCCTGGTTCTGCCACTTGCTACCTGTGTGGCCTCAAGGGAATCACTTCACCTCTCTAGGACTCAGTTTCCTCATCTGTAAAATGAAGGGATTGAACTCAATTCTTTCCTTCTAGCCCTCAGTCTATGAACCTCTGTACTCAGGGAAGTCTATGAACCTCTGTACTCAGTGAAGTCTATGCATAATGATGTGAGGAGTCAGCAAGCACAAACAAGGAGAAGGATCATGAAAGGAAGTGATATGTGAAGGAAGCTATGAGGCAGAGGTGAGCGAGGTAAGAGGCTCTGGCAGCAGACTAACTCCTGAATTCCCTACGGGGCAAGAAAGCCCTGTCCCAACTCAGTCACCCCTTGGAAGGGTCTTAGGGCCTTAGTCTAGGAAGGATGCTTTTGTCCCCTCTCTGTCTTCTTCTCCTTCCTCTCATTGCATCTCAGCCTGTGTGCCCCTTCACTCCACTCTTTCTTCTGTCTGTGCCCCGTTTCCTGGCTCTGCAGTGTTCCTCAGGTCCAGTTAATAGGGGACTCCTGGCAAGTTCCTGACCCTGACACCTGATGTGTAAGGTCTCTAAGGAGGCAGGAATCGAGAGAAAGCACCTGGCCCAGGCTGTCTGCTGCTGACCAGTGCCTGGAGCCCCGCCCCTGCCTTGGGAATCTGCCCAGACAAACCGATTCTTCCTGATGTTTGACCTTGACCTCATCTATCTTCCACTTTCCCCAGAAGATTGTAATAACAATAGCTCACATGTCCAGAACACTAGAGAATAGGCAAGGAGAGGCATTGTAACATGGCAGATAGAAAGTCCTGTACTTAAATCAGGAGATCTGGGTGTAAATTCTGACTCAAGCTGTATAACATGGGTATTGTTTCCCTGATAGGATACAAGGCCCTTCAGGCCTTTGCTTTTGTCTCTGGATCCCCAATACCTAGTACAGTACCTGGCACAAAATAGATACTTAATTACTGTTTGCAGGTTGATTGTTAAGTGCTTACCACTTCAGTCAATAAGGGTTCATCAAGCTATTACTCAGTGCCAGGTACCTCTCTAAGCCTCAGTTTCCTCATCTCTTAATTGGA